ATGCTAGATAATCCTAAGACATTCTCACATACATGAAGCATATATGATAAATAGATAATACCCGTCGATCTACCCCATTGTATACCACACCCAGTTCTATCCGATTACATCCATGGACCAAAGATTAATCATTTCAGTCCAACATAAATGCGACTCAGCTACAAGCCACCTTGGCTTCACGGCTTTCCAAAGTTGATACAGTGGAAAGTTAAACCGGACCAGCCATACTAGGCCATGCCTACATATTTTGGCCAACTGTTATATCTTGAACCAAATAAGAAAACTAGCCTATTTCGCAATTGTAGAACAAAGGTCTTAGCACAAGGTGATTCTAGTACACGTAGAGGGTTCCAAATGAGTCATAATATTTTGCTCCAACCAAAAAAATATTTTGTTTATACTTTTGTTTTCTTAATTCCCGCACATTCAACCAAAATATCTTATAACTACATTCTCACCCGCACTTTGTGCAGAAACATTCGTTTTATATGTTGTAAACTATACTTAACTTTCGTATTGTGTCGTATATAATATGTTCAAAGTGTGATAAGTATTGTTTTAGTTTGTAAGTAGAATCGATTAGTTTAAAAAGTATAATTGGTTTTTTTTAGTTTGAAAGTAGAGAATAAGTATGTTAAGTACTGAATTTATAAGGATTAGTTATTGGAGTTGGTATACATAAATTATAATATTTAGTTTTTTGCATGTACGTATGTCTGTTGTATTTACTTATGGAATAAGAATTATTATAATATGGCCAATCTACTAAATCTCTATGTAATAGAACAAATCTAACATAACTAAAAAAAACCAAAATATAAATTGTAGGTGTAACCCCAAAGATTTGATCCAAAAAGCAAAACAATAGTACTTGAGACTCTCCATCGCCGAAGATTGATCAAACTCTTTAATCAGGTTCAAAAACTAATCTGTTAAAAAAAGAAATCAAAATATTATAAAAATGAACTACATGTTGTAAGAGACCAATTTGAAAGAAGTTAAATAGATGAATCTCCATTCCATCATCATACAATAATTGCGAGTCAATATTTTG